GGCACTGAGAGAGGTTTAGGGAGGAACTCAGGGTTAGGCACTGAGAGGCTAGGCAGGAACTCAGGGTTAGGCACTGAGAGAGGTTTAGGGAGTAACTCAAGGTTAGGCACTGACAGGTTTTGAAGGGATCACAGCCTTTGCTGTCAGGACCAAGCTCAGCCCCTGCCTTGGTGGAGAAGTTTTCAGTGCTCAGTCACCCCATGGGGCTACCTGACCGCCATCTGTTTAGTGCTCCTGGGCACCCATTTTTCATCCTCCTGTGGTCTGTCACATTGCCCATCATGTAGAGCAGTTCTAGAGGTAGAGAGGAAACGTTGAGGCCTGGTAAGTTTGCAGAAGGCAAAGGAGGTGAAAACAGGCCTCAGCACCCGGGCTCCTTGCTGAGTATCTCCCCCTCGGAAAGCAACAACAGATGCCAAGCGAATGTTGGCTTTAAGAAGACATTGGGCTGGGCATGGTGGTGGATAGGTGTAACCCCAGCATGTGGGCGGGTGAGGCAGGAGGATTGTGTAGCTTGACCCGTGCAGACCCTGTATCAAACCCCAAAAGATGGTAGTTCTAACACAGAGACACTGAGAACTTAGCCACGTCTAACTAACCTGCACCGCTAATGTCAGTTCACACTCTGGTTGCTAAGCTTCAACACTGTGTGCTGTAGACAGAGTCTGTGAGGGGAATCCCTAAACTTGGACTAACCAGGGAAGACCCCCCCGAAGAGGAGTAGAGGGTGGCTGAGATGCATCTTGAACTGTGTGTGTTGAAAACTAGCTTGCGTGTTTAATGAAATGAAATCCTTTGCTTTTTCTCTTCATTAGTATTGGCACTGGGAGGAGTTAGATACCTTCTCTCAAACCAACCCTGCTGCCCGAGGTGTGTTAAAGTGAGATCTTAGATCTGAATTCGGCTGTTTGCTTTTAGTTTCTTTGGGTCAGGGGGCTTGCTATAGCTCAGGGTAGCCCCAGACTTGTAGTCTGCTGCTGCCTTCAGAGTGTTGGGATCACAGGTGTGCACTGGGCCTTGCAGACATCAGTGCGGCATAGGAATATTTAAGGAAGGGCAGAAACATCGTAGGTGTAGGCTGCCCTGGCTCTGTTCTCCCACCGAAGGGGCACGGTTCTAGAGTGGTGGGGGCAGCACATTGTATTGAAACCACTTCTCTTTGAACTCCACTCTTTTCAGTTGTCAAATATTTCTTGGTCCTGTGTTATTTAAATTATAGCTGTGTTTGGAATATGGTTCTCAGTTTGGAGTTTCTCAAAGGCTAACTTACACTTTTTCAAGTGGGGTCCCTCATATGGTCATGTTCAATGTTAGGAACGATCTTTAGGGGTACATTCAAGTGAATTTATACACACAGGTTCACAGAGGGGCTGTAACAGACAGTTGAGAAGTACTGGATGTCATGGAAGTGGGGCTGAAGGATGGGTAGAGCTTTCTGCTGTCCTCCACCTCACAGAGACTCAGTCTGTAGTGTGCTTACTAGCTCTCTACTAGGCAACTAGGAAGCTCCAAAACTTCAGCACAAGCTGGTTGCTTTGTCATTATAGTTCTTACTTTAAAACCAAATTATCAGCCTTGCAAGTGCAAGGCCACAAAAAATTGGTAAACACTCAGGTTTGTTCCTCTCCACGGAAATCTTTAGTAAAAGGCGAAAGATTTATACGATCTGAAGAGAAACCAGAGCATGAGGATGTGGTCGTTAGCTGTGTGCACCAGTAACTTCATCTCCTAGTTCATCGATGGTGACTTTTTCAGCCCCAGAAACTTCACACCACCTTGTCTATAAAGTAATATTCCAAGCTCTTTTGGGTAGAGATGTTGAGTGAAATATATACACACATATATTTTAAGATTCAAAGATTGTATTAGGTGCAAGGAATTATGGGTATGCAAATGAGTTGTCTGACTCACGTGGCTTTGAGGTTTCACAAATGCCTGGTTCCCTGCAAATCTCTCGAGCACCCTAAGGGGGCAGAGCGGAGGAGGGAGGTCTGGAGTTACTGGTTCAGTCGCAGAAACTTGCTTGTAATTCTTGTGTGTATGGGGATTTCTGAGTATGATTTCTGTTTCTTTTCTATAAAACGTGTTTATTCCAAAGTAAGCATACACCTACAAGAAGTGAGAACAATAACAAAGCTTACTGGGTAATTCACGGTAGAGAACTCTGTAAACTGGGGAGCAGATCCAGAGGCCTTACCCAGATTTCCCGATGGTTTGGGCACTCCTTTGTGCGTGCTCATACAGCGTGCTCACGCCATCACGTGATCAGGGGCAGATTGTGTTACCGCTGCACCCTAGGTATAGAAGCTTGAAGAACTGCTTTGACGTTTCCCCCTAGGCAGTGTCTAGTCACGTAGCCCAGGCTGGCCTCCAGCTCACAGACTCACTCTCTAGCCCAGGCTGGCCCATGGCAGTCTTCTTGTGTCCGCCTCCCAGGTGCTAGAATTGCAGGCCTGTGCTACCCTCTGGGCTTCAAACTCATGTTTGTGAAGGTCAGAGGATTTTCTGAGCAGAAACCAAATTCTCTGAATGTAAGGGCCCGAGTGAAAGGCTGTGGTTCCCAAAGGACTGGAGATATTTATTTTCTCCATGTCTTCTGATATTCTGGAGAGCAGGTATTATGACATGTGAAAATTGACAGTGCATTTTGTAGAAGAGGCATGGGTTTGTGTTATGCGGTCTATAGTTCTATTGTGGTACTATGTATTTATTTCTTTTCTTTCCCTTTCTTTCTTTTTTCCTCTCTTTTTTCTTTCTTTCTTTCTTTCTTTCTTTCTTTCTTTCTTTCTTTCTTTCTTTCTTTCTTTCTTTCTTTCTTTCTGAGACAGGATCTCATGTAGCCCAGGCTGGCCTCAAGTTTGCCATGTAGCTGAACAACTCCTTGAGCTTCGGATCCTCTTGCCTGTATCCCCGAGACCAGTGGTTCTCAACCTTCCTGATGCTGTGACCCTCTAATACAGTTCCTCAAGTTGTGGGGACCCCCAACCATAAAATTATTTTCATTGCAGCTTCATAGCTGTAATTTTGCTACTGTTCTGAGTCATAATGTAAATATCAGATATGCGATTCCCCCCAAAGGGGTCGTGACCCACAGGTTGAGAACAGCTGTCCCCGATACTGAGGTCATAAGCACTACCACCACAGCTGTCTTAATTTACATATTCTGGGTCACTATTCCCGGTTATGTCAGTCTCATCCGTGACTTACAGTTCTTCTCTCCAAATGCCTTGTAGAAAACATGGTCAGTGAGAAGTGAGTGTGTGCACGTGTACATGCCCGCACATGTGTGTTCACATGGGCATGTGTGCTGTACACACACATGAGTGTATGTGTATGTGCAAGTGTGTGTGTGTGTGTGTTCCTGAGCTCATGCTGGAATTTAGCATTTCCTTTTAGACATTTGATTCTGGTATGGTCTGGTTGTGTCAGGATGATGAGAACTTGGTTCTTAGTGTGTCAGTGTTGAAGCGGGGCAGGACGTTTAAGAGAGCCGCCTCAGGCCTGGAGAGAAGGCCCAGCAGGTAAGAGCGTTGGCTGCTCTTGCTGAGGACTTGGGACTGGTTCCCAGAACTCAACTGGTGGTTGGCAATCATTTGATTCTCCAGTTCCAGGGTATCCAACACCCTCTCCTGGCCACCTCGGGCATACAGACATATGAATGCTAAACACATTTTTTTTTCTCAAAGTTTATTAAAATACAAAAGTTTCCATTTCCACCCCTCCTCCCAACCCCTTCCCACTCCCCCTTCTCCCTCCCCTCCTCCCTCTCCATCCCCAAGAGCAGTCAGGGTTTCCTGCCCTGTGGGTAGTTCAAGCTCCTCCCCCCTCCCTCCAGGTCCAGGAAGGTGAGTATCCAAACAGACTGGATCCCAAAAATCCAGTATATGCAGAGGAAACAAGTCCCAGTGTCATTGTCAATGGCTTTTCAGAAAGACTCCGGGCCAGCCACATTCAGAGAATCCGGCCTCATTCAGAGAATCTGGTTGGATCACGTGCTCGCTCAGTCCCAGTCAACTGGCCTTGATGAACGCTCATTAGATCAGTTCCCTTGTATCAGTGGGTGATCGGACCCCTCGCGGTCCTGATTTCCTTTTTCATGTTCTTCCTCCTTCTGCTCCTCCTTTGGACCTTGGGGGGCTCAGTCCGGTGCTCCAATGTGGGTCTCTGTCTGTATCGCCATCCATCGTCGGATGAAGGATCCCTCCATTGTATCTTCTGCTACAGCAACACATTTAAAAAAGAAAAGAAAAGGGACAGCTAGGACTGTTACACAGAGAAATTCTGAAAACCAAAACAAAGGAAGAAAAGGGATTGGGGCTTTTCAGAAGTCAATTTGACACAGTTCAGAGTTATATATATGAGGGTACCTCAGTTGGAGAATTGTTTAGATCTGAGGGTCATATCCTTGATTGCCAATTGTGTAGGAAGGCCCTGCCCACTGTGAATGGTGCCATCCCTAGGCCGGTGGGCCTGAGCTATGTAAGAAACCTAGCTAACTGTGAGCCTGAACGTAAGTCAGTGCATTCCTCCAGGGTCTCCACTGCAAACTCCTGCCTTGAACTTCTGCTGTGGTTTCTCTCGATGACCAAATATAACCTGAAAGATGAAATGAACCCTTTCCTCCCTCTGTATGCTGTGGATACCATTGGTTATGGTTAATAAGAAACTGGCTTGGCCTGATAGGGCAGAATAGAGCTAGGTGTGGTGTGTGTGTGGGACTAAACTGAATGCTGGGAGAAAGAAGGCAGAGTCAGAGAGAAGCCATGTAGCCCTGCCAGACACAGACAGACATCAGAACTTTACCCAATAAGTCACAGCCTTGTGGCGATACACAGATTAATGGAGATGGGTTAATTTAAGATATGAGTTAGCCAGAAATACGCTCAAGCTATTGGCCAAACAGTTTTGCAAATAATATGGTTTCTGTGTGATTATTTCGGGGCTGAGCAGCCGGGAACAAACAAGCAGCCTCATACAATACTCCCCTGTTTGATTTTGGTCATGGTGTTCGTCACAGCAGCAGAGACACTAGGACAGGAAGGTCCTCAGAAGGGAGCAGCTTGGTCTGGCATCTTGATCTGACCTGTGATTTCCTTAGTCACACATGCTAAGGAGTCTGTCATCTCCCGTGATGTTCTCATGATAGCTGGTACCAGGACCTTGAGCCTCCCGGCTAGACGCTAAGTAAACCTCCTGTCTTTATAAGGCACACAGCCTTAGAGATTCTGTTGCGGAAACTGATACAGACCTCTTTCTCTTAGCGTCAGGAATTAAGGGAAAGCTATGGAGCAAATCTATCCATATTAGACCAAGTGTGTGTGGCCAGTATAACCAGAGTGTGGGAGCTTGGATGGCTGAGATCTGTTGCCAGAGGGTGTTGGGGGTGAAGATACTAAAGGAGGTTGTTTACATCAGTTAGGTCATTCAGATGTAGTTACTTCTTTTGTGGATTTGTTTGCGTGCACCTGTAGACTCATGCCCACAGAGGCCAGAGGTCAAGCTTGAGGCTCTTACTCAGTCATAGGCCACCTTGTGTTCTGAGACAGATTACTTAGCTAGTGAGCCCCAGGGATTCTCCAGTGAGTTCTGGGGTCGTCATGTTTGTACAGAAGGCCTTTACCACCAGAGCCAGTGGTTCCCTCTTGTGAGGACTCTCCTCTTCCTTCCCTGTTATCCCTGAACCACGTGGCCAGGCTGAGGTGGTGCTGGTGTTCCACATGGAGCTGTTTGAGCTGACTTTCTTGGTACTGCCCCTCCATACCAGCCTCCTCTTTGCCCGTGTGGGTGGCACAGGTGGCCTAGTAGAGACTTGGTGTCATAGAAAAGAAGGTTCAGTTTTATTAGTGAGGGCATCTTGTCTTTCAGGAGGGAGTGATTGTTCATCCTGGAAACTGTGAGCAATAAAAGGATTTAGTTTGAGTCATTTTAGAAATAGTAAAGCCAGTGTCGAAAAAAATGTCTTCCAGTAACTTCTTGATGAGGGGTGAGCCCATGTTCACTCAGAGAGCACACCTCTTCTGTGCAGATTTCCTGTGGGACTCTCTTCCTTTTGAGGTAAGTTTGCTCCTTCTGCCAGCTTCTGGCTCGGAAGGCAGTGCTGTGAGCCCACTAACGAGAGGCAACCAGGTGGGAAGCTGCACACGTCAGCTGATGGACCCTGTAGTATTCAGTAAAGGGCCAGTGCCTTTCTTTCTCCAGAAGAGTCTCACAGCCATCAGTATGTTCCTCCACTTCCAGAGTCAGAGAAGAGTCATCAGAAGACAGGTGATGGCCAGGTGGGCAGCAAGGCATTCTGGGAAATGTAGTTTCCCACCTTCTAACCTAAGGCATGGAGTTGTGCTATGGAGGACTGGAGTGATGATGGAACCAGTACACAGCAGGCGAGCTGGAACCCTGTGCTGGTAAAATATCCATCAACAAAAACCACCTGGTCACTGCCATGACTCCTTTCACAAACGTTTACATTTATTTATTTATTTGCATGCATGCATGTGTATGTGTGCACACACATTCGAGGCACAGAGGTCAGAGAGCAACTTGCGGGAGCTGATTCTCTCCTTCTGTTATAGGGGCCCCTGGGGATCCATTCAGAGAGCCAGGCTGCCCAAGCATCTTTACTCACCGAGTCATCTCTCCAGCCTGTGTGTGTCTTTCTGAGACTGGGGCTCCTATAGCCCAGGCTTGCTGGAACTCAGCTTGTCAAGGAGGATGACCTTTGAACTCTTGGATCTTAACTTTCGCATCTCAAGTGCAATCACCATGGGCATTCACCATGATGCCCAGTTCAGAAAATATTTATTTACAAGAAACAAAGAAAAAAAGTCCCAACACTTGAGAGCACTCATAAGTTAATGACATAGAACCCCTAAACTTAGGGCAGAAAGCCTAACTAGCCTTATCACTAACACCTCCTTGCCTTACCTTGTGTTGCATAGGTTTCTTCCCGAGGCTGAAATTTGGGAAAGTTGTGGTTTGTCAGAGAGGCTGTGGCCATCATTTTTTTTTATACTTAAACATTTTTCATTTTAGCTTTTGAGAATTTCATACACTAGTACTGTGTTTACATTGTTTACACCCCCCTCTCCATTCTTCTCTCCCTCCAACTCCTTTCATGCCCAGCCCACTTACTGTCAACATCCTGACCTCTTCTTTAATGCTGTGTGTGTGTGTGTGTGTGTGTGTGTGTGTGTGTAACTACAACCTGCTAAGTTCATCTGGTGTTGCTTGCATTTGTATGTGCTTAGGGCCAACCACTTGGCATTGGCTGACCTATTCCTGGAGAAGATGATCTACCTGCCTTAGCAACCATTCCTTGCCTGGAGCTCTTCATGTGTGGATGGAGCCTTGTGAAGGATTTCCCCCGTCCACAATGGGATCTCAACTGGTGTTGCCATTGTGTGGGTCTTGTTCATGTAATCATGTGTGCAGCTCCCTGTCATATGTAGAGGATGTTGTCTTGGAGCATGTCCTGTCTGTCTGGCCCCTGCCCTGGAAGTGCTGGGATTGCAAATGTGTATCACCACATCTGTCTTGTCACGTGGATTCTGGGATCTAACTCAGGTCGTCACGCTTGTGCAAGTGAGCACTTTTGTCCACCACAGTCTCCCTGGCCCCGAGTGTGGTTCTTTAGTAAATAGGACAGAGTGAAGCCTGGTAGTTAACTCAGGATAGGAGGGAGGTGCGTGGGACTCACAGTTTATTAGCGTGCACATCGATCACTTTTCTTGTTGCTCTGACTAAATAATCAAGAAAGGCTACTCTCCAGGTCACACACACGGTACAGACCCTCTGGTGATGCCACCTTTTGATCTTTCCTCGTAGGACCCGACTGACTTTGAGTGGAATTTCTGGCTGGAGTGGGGGAAGCGGAGCCTGGTATGGCTCTTCCTTGGCCATGCAGCTGTGTCTCAGTTGGCCACACTGCTCGCAAAGAAGGTACGAGTTTATGTGTCATTTGCTTTTAAGCCTCTTCCTCCTTTGGGTTTGGTGAAGAGGTCCAAGCTTTGAATCAGGAGACAGGGGTAGCCCTGGGGAAGCCTGGGGACAGTATTAGTGACTTTTGAGTGGAAGGTGTCTTCCCATTTCACCCTACTGTGATTTTCTCCAGATTATTTCGTAAAAACCACTTTCAACCTGAGCTAACCTCAGCTGGCACTCACCAAGCTCATCCCTGATGGAATGGCCTCGGCAGACTTGCTTACTTGGGAGATTATGTGTGGCCTCACTTACAGTTCAGAGATTATTGTTTAGAAGTGGAGACAGATGGGCCTGGAGAAATGGCTCAGCAGTAAGACTACTGGCTGCTTTTTCCAGAGGTCCTGGGTTCTATTCCCATGACTCACATGGTGGATCACAATTGTAGTGGCTAGTTTTTTTTTTAAAGATTTATTTATTTATTACTTATACAGTGTAGGCCAGAAGAGGGCACCAGACCTCATTACAGATGGCTGTGAGCCACCATGTGGTTGCTGGGAATTGAACTCAGGACCTTTAGGAAGAGCAGGCAAAGCTCTTAACCACTGAGCCATCTCTCCAGCCCCTGTAGTGGCTAGTTTTATTTCAGTTTGACACAAGCTAGTGAAACATGATTAATAAAAACTCAGAGAGAAAAATTGGGGTTCAACCTGAAGGTCAATAAAGAAAGCAACCAGCCATTGGCTCTTACCCAGACTTCAATCCAAAATGGTGGTCCTGCCTCCAGGAATCTCAGAATGAAACTGTCTGAGAGATGTTTCCTCCCATTTTATAGACCTCTCTAGGGCTGGGATTAAAGGCGTGCACCACCCACTGGGATTAAAGGTATACACTGCCTGATTTCTATGGCAAACTAGTGTGGCTACTGGGATTAAAGGTGTTTGTTATTGTGGCCTGGTCTGTAAGTCTGGACAGTGTGGCTGTTTTACTTTCTGAACTTCAGGCAAGCTTTATTTATTAAAATAAAAATGAAATGCCACTACAAACTTGATAGGGGAAGTCTTTCTGTATATGTGTTGCTTTTATTGGTTAATGAATAAAGAAGCTGCTTTCAGCCAATGGCTTAACAGAATATAGCTAGGCTGGGAAAGATAGATGCAGAGAGTAGGCGGAGTCAGAGAGACAGTAGAGCCGCCTGAGGGGAAAGACGTGAACTGCCGGTTGGAACCTTGCCGGTAGGTCACGAGCCTCATGGTAAAACATAAAATAATAAAAACGGGTTAACCAGAGATATAAGAGATAGCTAGCAATACGCTTAAGTGATTGGACAAACAGTGATTTAAATATTATAGTTTCTGTGTGATTATTTTGGTTCTGGGCAGCCAGGAACAAACAAGCAGCCTCCTATAAGACAAACTAGAGACATCTGAGAGGAGGGAGCCTCAGCTGAGAAAATGCCTCTATAAGATTCGGCTGTAAGGTATTTTCTTAATTAGTGGTCAGCGGCAGAAGGCCCAGCTGTTGTGGGTGGTGGCATCCCTGGCTTGTGATGCTGAACTAGTAAGCCCCGTTTTAAAGGAATCTATCAGATGTGATTCCATGCACAGGAGACTTGGGAGTGTGGACCCTAACAGGTGCATTCTGGGTGCAGTGTGAAATGCTGGGGTCCAGGTGTAGCATGGCCAGTGTGGGATTCAGTTTCCTTGATGCTGTTAGTTCAGGCTTCCCTTCTGAGGCAGTGTGTCTGTGGACCCTGAGTGTGTGTGTGTGTGCATGCGTGTGGCACAGGTGGAGGTCAGAGGACAGCTTGCTGTGGTCAGTTCTCTGTCTCCATGATGTGAGACCAGGAGGTCAAACCCGGGAGGTCAGGCGTGGTATCTGACTCCTGCGTGCGTGGAGTGCTCTCTCTGGTCCCCAAGGCCCCACATGACATGGCATTTGCTAATAACCAGCACACATCCTCTCAACATCTTGCTTATAATTCCTAGGACAACACAGAAGCGGAATAGCTGTGATACTGTGCTATAGAGGGAGTAACAACAGGAAAATGTATGTGTTTTATTTTTGATATTAATATCGTTCTAGTCAAGGCCAGTTGAACCCATGGTGTAGAACTTGCTCCCGAGTTGTTCACAGTGTGTGTGATCATCAAGTCTGTGACCAGTCACTCCCTGCCTCTGAGCCTGTGTCCTCAGGTCTGCCGGGGAGATGGCACCGGCTTCTGTGCAGTGATGGCAAAGCGGTGCTTTCCCAGGTCACGTCTGCAGGTGGGCAGAGTCTGGTGGCAGCTGCTCTTGGCCTCTGGTCTTTGCTCCTGGAGTTTTCTATGTGGTGCTAGGGAGAGAAGTGAGGCAGGTTGGGAGGTAGGTAGGTCAGTGGCAGAGCTGTGTTTGTGCCTAAGGTGAGGAGACCTGGGTTCAGTCCTTTCTACAGGAGCCAAGAAGGGAGGTGCCAACATGTTCCACAGCCCTCGAGGACCGAGGCGGGCTCTGGGCCTGTGACCGTGTATTTCCGAACTGCTCTGTTTCAGGCTGGTCTGGGCGTAGGACTGGGAGCTAGACTACTTTTATAAGGGTTTGGTCAGCTAACTGGAAAGCCAGAAATGAATCAGTGCCGATCCCTGAGCCATGCCTGGCACGGCGGTGGCTATCCCATTTGCAGCAAGCGCAGAGGGCAAGGAGTAGGCCAGGCATACTGGCCATTCGGAGGCGTCTCAGGAGGTGGCTTTGCAGTTCAGGCGTGGGAAGTGGAACTACCCTGTCCAGCTTCCTGTGTGGTGCTCTCAGGTCTGGCTGGGCGGGCAGACTCAGCTACTCAGCTTAACCTCTGTGGAACACATCTTCCCGCATGCTGGGGAGGAGGCAGAGTGAGGGCTGAGTCATCTCCCTGTGTGTCTCACCCTGGTGTGACCAAGCCTGGACAGCGAGGCAGTTGGCTGGCAGATCTGCTTGCAGCTGGGCCACAGTGCTTCTTTGTCTGCCGGACTGGCCTTTCTGTGAGTCTGGACCGCCACCTTGGCCTCATTAGTCCCAGCCTCTCAGCACCTGGACCGAGTGTTCCTCGTGGCCTTCCTTGGCCGAGTTGTTTTTGGTGCTTTTTCAGGGTGGAAGATTTGGGCTGCAGCTGTGTCTACTTTGCTGTCCTCTGGGGCATTTCGAAGCCTGGAAGTGCGCTTGGGGGTGGGTGGCCACCACCTCCTAATGAGGGCAAGGCTACCTCCAGGGGCATACCCAGCCTCCTCCTCCTTTCCCTCCTCCTCCTCTCTGCCTCCTTTCCCCTCCTCCTCCCCTCCTCTGGTCATGTAAAATAATAAAGTAATCAAGCTTTCCCCTGAGCTGCTTGGCTGAGGTGAAATGTTTTTCCTCCAGGTCAGCCCCTCTCTGGGTTTCCTCCAAGCTCTGTGAGGAGACTGAAGGAGGTCGAGTAATGGCTGAGCTCTGGCTGCGGGTCTGTTGTGATTGGACGCCGAGGGGGTAGGTCACAGTTGCCTCTTTTCTCTCATGCCTCTGTGGCTTCCCACCACCTAAGACACTGTGTTCTCTGGCCTCAGAACTAAAATGACCCTGTAGAAGCTCTGAGAAGGCTGGCTGGCCATGGGGCTCGGTGCTTTTGTTGCTGTGGTCTGGCTGGAGAAATGGCATGGTCAGTCGTGGCCCCATGGCTCCGGTCCTTAGGGCTGGGTGTTCACAGGGCTGAGGAACCTGGTCCTCTGGAATTGGCCCTTTGCAGGGTGAGTGGCCTCTCCCTGAGGAGTGTTAAATCCACACACAGTCAGAGCCTCATGCCTTGATGTTTCTCCTGGAAGCTGCTCTGCTCCTTCCAATATAATGCCAGTCTAACGAAATGAAGCTCCCCGGATGAGGGCCCAGTGTCCTGTACTCCCGTGAAGAGCTGCGTGGGGTGCAACTGTCTGGACTCAGATGGAGCAGATTAAGTTTTCTTCTTTGGGGGGACTTCATATATGTATATATTCTTTCTTATGTAGTATTGTATTTATTTATTTCAATACTTACTTCAATTGAATCAAAATGTAACAAACTACATCCCTTTATTTCTCAAACTGTGCTTCACTGAGTGGTTTCTTGGCAGATGTAGTCTGACCCACTGCCAGTGGAAGTGCTGACCAAACTTTGGCTCTCACTCTTTGAGGCAGACATAAGCTAACAAGATGTTGCCTGAGGCACATCTGGTTACCACGTGGCGCTTGCAGCACAGGTACCCAGAGCTGACCCAGAGTGGGGCCATTGCCAGAGCGTTGTCTAAGGTGGGGTTCTGCCCTGTGAAGGTTTGAAAACCATAGACTTCAGAACAAAGGGGAGCAGCTCTGGCTTTGTCTTTGTCCGAAGCTAGCCTGGGCACAGGTCTGGTGGTTAGCGAGTGTCCCAGGCTAGGGTCATAGCCAGGGTGATGGGATGACACACAGTGCTCTCTGTTGGGGCATCCTCTCTGAGGTTGGCACTAGGCTGCTGTGGACTGGTGGGTGTGAGCAGGCGCGGGTGGCCAGTCATGATCTCTGAAGTGATGCCTTTGTCTGCACTGGTGGGGGCGAAAGCCTTTCTTAGAAGTGATGTGGAATCTGAGGCTTGAAGGGCAGCAGGCTTTCACATTAGTGGATCAAAGCCCAACAGTTTGATACTGGTTTTGTCTTCTGTCTAGTTAAATCTGAGGACTTGGGGAAGCTCACCCATTTGGCCATCACCCATTCGGCCATCCATATTCTATCACATTCTTCTGTCTTCACGCATTGACCTCTCCACCCCCATCTATCTACCTGTCCACACTATTTATCCATCCATCCACCCACTGCCTTCCAGATGCCCATATCATATGCACCATCCACTCATTCGTCCATTTTCCCCACCCACCTTCCACCCATCCATCCGTCAATCCCCACACCCCCTCTCCAACCATTTTTAACCCACCAGCGCACCCTATCTACCCACCCCAATTCATTCACTTACCCACCCCTTCATCCACCCATCCGTCCACCCTCCCACCATTGATTCCCCGGTCAATATCTA